TGATTCAAGTATTATATTATCTTGGCTAATGTTCAAACCAAAACGATGACAGCTGTTTGTAGCACAGATTGTTAGAGATGCAAGCTACTGTTCCAGCAGAAATTGGAATCACATTCAAGGAAGGGAGAACCCAGCTGACTGTGTGTCACAGGGACTTCATCTGAGTGATTTGTTAGCTTATAAACTTTGGTGGAATTGCCCAGAGTGACTAAAGTTAAGAGAAATACCATTTTGTCAAAAAAATTCCAAATTGTGAGGGAGCTTTGAAAGAAGAACGGAAACACTTTTCATGTGCGGTTGGAGTAGACATAAAAGAGTTACCAGTGATTTCAAAGATCTCGTCTTTCATAAAACTGCAAAGAGTGATTGCGTGGTGTCTGAGATGTATCAACAATGTCAAACTGCCATTGGCAAGAGAAATTTAGGATTCCTAAGTATGAAAGAGTTAGAATACATCACATCATGTTGTATTAGACTAATGGTAAGTTTTTCTCCCAAGATTAAAAGTATTTAATGCAGAAAAACCATTACCTACAAATTCCTGCACTCTTAATTTATACTCTTTTCTAGATAACAATGGTGTTTTGAGAGTTGGTGGTAAGTTACAAACTACCAACTTAAAATTCTGTCAGAAGCATTCAGCTATTTTACCAGATAAGCATATTCTAATGAAACATGTTGTGCAGTATTTCCATAGGAAGTATTTGCATGCTGGAACTTAATCTTTGCTATATCATATTCGGCAAGTCTTTTGCGCAATAAACAGGAAATCAGTATGTGGAAAGGTTGTGCATGAATGTGTTTCTTGTTGCAAAGCAAACCAATTGACACACGTCAAATTTTAGGTAACTTGCCTTGGGATCGAGTGAATTAACCCTTTCGTGGGCCATTTATTTCTCTTTTAAATTTCTCCCGTTTTTTTATGTTTTATTATCAATTAAACAATAGCATTTAAGGAAATATATTTTATTTTGCCAAATTTTTTGTTTACATTTAAATTTTAGGGGTGGGAAGTATACTTCCCACAGGATCTTTTATGGTCATAGAGAAAATTCAATTTAAAGCCGATTATTTGCCGTGAAAAGATGAGAAACATGTTGCAATGCACAAGGGTACTTTAGATACTGCACACATATAGCGTGCCCTCTTTTCTTGGGCCATTTTGCTACATTTCTTACATCGTCTATAGTTGGAAACCATCTTTGGCATATGATTTCCCACACTGACTAAGCGTACATCATCTGGAACTGCACACCTTTTTGCTTGGAAGCTAGCAGGACGGCCTTTCTTTTTTCGAGGAATATCCGTTTATTAGTTGACGAGCTAATGCTATACGGAATGTTAGCTGGTCTAAACTTCTGTTTCTCTTGTTTTCTTGCCACAGTATAAAACTATTTACAATGCCAAGATCAATAAGAAAATAAAATATACGATGCCACCATTCTACAGATCTTCTTCCTATTTGGTACCTTTCTTTTCTTTGATCAAAGCAATCAACCCCTCCCATGATATCGTTACATACGGCAACAGCTTTAGGGCAAGGTACTTATGTTTTAGTATCATCCTTTTTTGTACGATTTACAGATGTAATAATCGCTGAATTATGTGCAGTATTCAACAATGTAACAGCCTTTTTGACCATCCACTTTATTGCAGCAACACCTTTCTTAGTTAGGAACACTGATGCCCCTCTTTGTAATTTGTTATTAGCCTTTAGTATTGGTGGAAGATCCTTCCTTTGCAGCCTCACAATCCCCACAGAAAACAGACCACTAATAAGTAGACTTTTTGCAAGCCTAAAAGATGTCAAATAGTTATCATAGGCTATAAGATGACCTGTCTGTTTCACATCTTCTGTTAGTTTAGTTATTACGGTTTCTCCTAAGCTCAATATTTTATCTTTATTATCAGAAGTTTCTTTTCCACAATAAATTTAAAATTTTTGAATATATCCAGTCTTAGAGTCTGCTAAACACCACACCTTGTAGCCTCTTATTATAGGCTTCATTGGCATATACTGCTTCAATGAAGTTCTCCCTTTGAAATCTATCATACATTCATCTATTCATAATGTTGCCGAAGGTTCGTAGACTTTAGGTATGGAATCATTGAGCTGTGAGAAGATGCCTGACTTTATGGAGTTTATCATGCCCAAATTGCCCACATGGATTTGTGCTGTTATTGTTTACATGTAAAGTCTCAGTTATTTTTTGAACCCCTTTGCGATTACTATTCTTGCTACTGATTGAACATTGAGAACAGGGTAGGGTCCATTTTATGTGCTCTGACTTTTATGTTGATTATTTCCAGTTCAGTTCAGTTCAGGCAATTGATGTATACCCATGAGTATATGCATACCTACCCATGCTTTCAATTCTTCTGATGTGATTTCTTTCCAGTTCAGGATAATGTCTTTTGTGGTATGACCCAAACTCTTCCTTTTCTTAGGCTGCTTTGCATATGAGTTTGTTTCGTCAACAACATTCTGTAAAATTTCCTCAGTAAAAATCATGCCAAAATAATCCTTTTCTTTCTCGGTAGAACTGAATGATATTTTCAAATGTATTTTCAAAAATATTCTAATTTTTCCAACATACCTATTGCATGTGGCTTATACATGATGCAATAGCATTTTCACCCATTATTTATTATTCAATATTAGATAGTTACTGCAGAAATATACAAAATAAGAAAACGTTATTATAATAAAAACAGTGCTTTACTTACATTTGTAGCAAAATCGTATAGCAATGCAAATGTCAAATCAAAATAGGTGACTCAGTGGAACAGATCTCGCACAACGCGTTCGAACTTTCGAAACAAATGTGGTAATTCTGTTTTCAATCGATTGAACACAGATGGCAGTACAACACTGAAGTGGGAATTAGAGTTCCCAACGTTATAATAGCAAAGCCAATATATTATAGTGGGTTTTGCGCTTCCCACAGGTGTATTTCCCAGGGAAGTAACCTTCCCACGGCCCATGAAAGGGTTAAAACTATGCATTCAAGTGTACAGGTAATGAATTTTGCGGTCTTTTCTTTATCAGATACAAACATCAGAGAAGAGTTCATAGTAAAATTTATGTTTGTATTTTCGTTTGTTTCATAACTTGTGCAATACATTTAGAACTAATTACAGATCTGAATCTTTTATTGTTACCTTAAAAATATTCTTTTCTAGAAGTGGTAAAAATAGCAAATTATTTAGTGATAATCCTAAAGCATTCATTGGAGGTGACAAAATAAGAATAGTAAATGTGACAACAAATTATGGCATATTTAAAAGAAGTGTTTCAAATATTTGCATTTTGCTATTTAAGAATAATGTTGGACATCTCAGCTATAACTGTTAAACTTTTATCTTTATGTGAAATTGTAACTCTGATTTATTAATTGACTTTTTCTTTTTATTGAACCTAGTAGGTTCAAGAGGGGTGCATGTTGCATCACACGCAGTGAGATCGGAAGAATTCCTACTATATATGGTTGCAAAGCAACACTGGGTGTGGGGGGGGGCAGGCAAAGCTTGCAGTGAATGAGAATGAGCGAGATGCAGGCAAGTATACCGTCTGTTTAGAACAATGAGTGATGTGAGCAATGAGTGCAATTCTCCCCGTGATAAGTACCTGTTATGAGGATCGCAAAGTTGGAATAAGAAACCCTGTTAACCAAGACGCTTCTTGTAGAAATTAATGCATTACAACATGGTGTAGTTTCATTTTTTCCGAACCAGTTCTAAAAAGAAACACTAGCAGCTAATTGTGAAGAGTTCCCATCTTATTTCCAGTATCTCTTGAGAAGAAATGTAAAATATAGATGCAGAAAACCAGCAGATCTAGCAAATGCCAAGCATTATACATGGTTGTCCATTACTTTCAGCCATTAGAACAAAGCATCTACCAAATTTTGCAACAACAGCAGTGAAAGATTTATTCTACAACACAAAATGTACACTTCAAACAATTATGAAATATATAATTGAAAATGAAGGCACATTGATTGTAAATAATTAATCATATGACATAAAAGTAATACAATAATGAAATAATATATTTACTGGTGCGGTTACTGAGCATATGATAAGTCAATTGTTTTATCAATTGTGTATAAGCATCAGGCTAGATGAGCTCGTGTTCGGGAACCACATTTTACATTTCTCCTCAAGAACTGTTGGAAATAAGATGACAACTTTCCATGATTTTTTTCTAGTTGTCCTAAGAAAAAGGACAGATAGGATTCTTAGTTGATTTTTTCTTAGTTGGTCCTTTCTTAGTTTCCTTTAGCATAAAATTTGTTTTTATTCTTTTTTAATGATACTTGTGGTAAGTACTTAATCTTTTTGCATCTGCCTCACTTCATCTTTGCCATTTTACTAAAACTTGTTCAGAAACTTTAATATTCTTAATTATAAGTTTTGAAAGAGGAAGATAAAGAAAGAAATGAAAATATTTTTTTAGAAACTAAAACATGTTTCGTTAGACTAAAGCATGGAAAAGCTACTCAGTGAAGTTTATTGGCATGTTGACTTTTGTACCATATGTATAATTCACAACTTATATGCCAGCTAAATATTTTAACAATGGAAAACTTCAATCTGATTTAAAAAAAGTAATCTAAATTACAATAATAAATACATGAAAATTACTTATGATTATAAAAATGTTAATTTCATTCTAGGTGGATTTGCTTTTACAAATTAAAGTTAAAACATTATTACTTGTAGATAAAATTCATTACAGAAATGCAGTTTTAAATATTGGAGAAAAGTTTCTTTTACAGTAAAACAAACTTCACATTACTATTAAATTTCTACCTTTGTAACATTTTTAATTGTTACAAAGTTATTTTATAACACTGTAAATTATTTTCTACATTAAAAGAAACGTACTTCATGAATTGTATTTCTAAATATGCGTCTTTAAATACTGCACTTCACTCGCACCATATACATCACAACATTAAAATACACAATCTATGTTTCAATAAACAACTCAAAAATCTAGTATGATAAAAAATTTTATTCTAGATTATGCATACAATAAATAAAACATGCATTTTTATCACCTCTTCTTTTTAGATTTAGATTTTCCTTGAAATTGGTCAGGATTTTCTCCTTTAGCAACTGCTAATCTCTTCTTAAGTTCTAATAGGACAGCTACTGCTTCATCTATTTCTGTTTTACTTTCTTTTTTGGCTTTAAGTTCACGAACTTTATTGCCCTAAATAAAATTCTTTATTAGAATACGATTAGAATAAAGAATAGGAAAAACTGATGTATAACTCACTGATATAAAAATTTGCGCACCTAGAAAAAGTTGTCAGAATAAAATAGAATATTATTTATGTGTGTTCAGTAAGTAAGTAATTACAAAATTAAAGCAAAAGGTTCATTTATTACCAAGGGGAAAAAAAACTACAAATGAATGGAATTTTCAGTACCCTGTTAGCATGATACAAGTGAGCATTCAGGGATACAGGACCTGTATGGTGGTCTTCATCATCTTATTCCACAGTTGTTGTAAGTTGTAAGTGCAATCCTAGTTTGACCATAACTCTTAGGTTGTCGGACTTGCCTTCCAAAAGTATCCCAGACATGACAGATCAATGATAAACCTGAGGATCAGGTAGGCCAGGAAAGGGTTTTAATGGGGCAAAAGCATTCCTTGCTGTGTGTGGATGTCCTGCTGAAAGTACCGTCCTGTTGTAAAATATCTATCGAGAACTCTACCACAAATGACAACACATGTGTCTGAAGGATGACAAAAATATACCACTGGACTGACATGGCACCATGGATCAATAATAGTGATGACCAGACTTCATATGCAATGGCACCCATACCTTCACACCAGGATTGAGGCACTCACCACAGAGCCTCCATACATGTACACAGTTCTTCACATTGCCAAAATGAACCTTGATTCATCACTTAAGATGAAATCGTTCAATTTGGTTGCCATCTGATACTGTCAAAAATGACAATACTCCAAGTTGAGACAATGATAAGTAGATATCACTGGCAGTACACTTTAAGGGTCAGAATACCAAATATCCTTGCATGCTGTAATAGTACAAACTGACACACAAGCCTGTACTGAGAGTTCTGCCTGTACTGGATGGCAAACAAAGAAGCATTAGGCACTGGTGTGCATGCTGAGTAAAATGGCAGTCCTCTCGGCTATTAATCTGCTGAGAGCATTCTGAGCCTGATTGCTACATATGTCACCTCTCTGTCATCCACTAGGCTCAAAAGCTTCTCACAATGAAGACAGAAAGGCAAATAAGCAAGGTAGCAAATAAGTTTCATGGTAAGGTCCTGCTGCATAATGAGGTGATAAAGCTGGAGGTGGTGGTTGAGAAGTTTGATACTGGTTGCAATGAGGAGGAGGAGAAGGAGGAGCACCATAATGAACTACATGGGAAGAAGGGTTACTAGATCCTGATGGTGGTCTTACAGGTGTTACACTTTCTCTTTCAATAAAATCTTTTACTGGACTTACATCTCTAGATTTTACTTTCTTGCTAAGATCTTGAACTTCGCAATCAACAGGTATATCCATATGATGAGAGTTAGGTCAAAAAGGATGTTGAGATCCACTGTGCACAGTGGGTGGAATAGGTGTACTGGAGACATCAATTTTGGGCTAATAATAATTAAGTCAACCTAAAAATTGAAAGATATGGCAAAACAAATGACATATGTCATGAAACACTAAATTAATTTAAGACTTCACGATTCTGTGCTACAACATAATTCATAGCTGCATTTGCCAGTAATTCCCATTTAAATAAGCGGGAGTACTTTTTAAAGAATTTTCTCCAAAACCATTTGCAACCATCGCTTATTTTAATGCTTTGTATTTCCAGTAGAATAAGATTATTTTGCCTCTTTCCCTAAGGTAAATTAGCCTCTTTCCATCTCGCACTCAGACAGCTGATTGTATTGTCTTTGATGGCAGTGTAACAGCATCCATATTGAAAAAGCTTCTATCTGCAAGAGCTTAAGTATAGGCTTAAGTATAGCCTCTGTATATATTTTTTATGCACCAGGAAGAATGAAGTTAAATGCTCTGTGGTGGCATTATATAATTTCACTGTACTTTTAAGTATCTGCCTGATACATACAATAATGTCAAGTTTCATCACAATGTGACAAATTAATTACTTAATGAAATTTTAATAGTAAATGAGTGTAATAAAAATATACAAATAAATATAAAATTACATCAGATTTACATCATATATTATATATTTACTGAAAGGATTTACAAAGACCCTCATTTTGAGACTCAGTTCTGGTCCAAAATACGAAGTTCTAGATTGGAAAATAAATTCAAAACAGCCAGCCTCTCTTCTAGGAAATCACAAATACTAAACTGATTAACCGATCTGGTAATAGACTAGTACTGCAAGAGATATAGTTTTAATATTAAAATTACATTTTTAATAAAAATATGCACATCTTATTATAAATAAATTTTGGGAATACAGACATTAGCAAATAAGAAAATTCATTTAAAAAAAGAAACATTTTGATTATGATTTATTTAAGAAAATTTGTAACTAAATAATAAATGGAATAAATTAAAATTTATTTATTTAAGAACAAGATTAATTTATAAAACAATTTGGAATATCTTTAAAATTATGGGATTTGAATCAATACTGCAATTTTTTTCTTTTCCTCATTTTCCCTTAATAAAATATAATTTTTGAAACCTGAATTTTTCTTGCATTATTATTTCTTTCTTTTTAATTCAAAAGATAGTGCTATGTATTCTTTTACCCTCAATAAATTTTCAAATCTTAATTTTAAAACTTTTTTTTTTTTTTTCCATCTCCAGCTGCCCTTGCTTAGAAAAAAAATTTCTTTTGAATTATGTTAAGAAATTTTAAATGTAAATTTAAGCCAATTTATGTTTTTTTCCCTCATTATCTTTAATGACAGAGCATTTTTCGATTGATCCGTGAAAATAAATAAAGGGTCAGAATGCTATATAAATACTTCAGACTAAAGTAGTGGATATATTATTTATTACTATTATTATTATTATTACTATATTTTCCGATTTGTTTTATAATTTTAATAAAAGCAAAATTTATCAGTCCTTTCTTCTATTGTAAAAGCTTGTCTATCTGGAAAGCTTGGGAAATGCCAAATTCTGGATATGTGAAAATTTCAGATAATTGAGCATCGAAAAGATGCAGAAAAGCCAAATGATGGAATTCACTCATGGCAGAAAAGCCAAATGATGGAAGAAAAACTTTCTAGTCTAAAATTATAAAAAAGTCCTTTTATTTGTTATTAACTAGAATATAAAATGTGTACATCTAACTGAGATTTTGACAGGAAAAAGACATTTCAGACATAAATGACATAAAAATGCTGAAGTAAAACATCATATTTGATTACAGAATTCAGCTGACCATGAAAATTAGCGGAGATCTCGCCAAACTTGCACCAGTCATTCTGGCAGAAGTTTGAAGGAATAGATCACTCTTTATTCAGTTAGATAATCAACATATACAAGTTATGGGCATACATATAAAAAACTTAAATTGCTTGTCATAATTCTTTACATTGCACAGCCAGTGTTCATCCATTTTCACATAAGTCATGCTTTTCTTGATGCCAGGATCGCATAATTCTGAAAATTATGGCATGCTGTTCTCAAATGTCAAATTTTGATATTTTTTTCAATAAGTTTTTATAAAAGTTAAACTAATTTATTGAGAAAACTAATTTAACTAATTTATTATGAACCTCTTATTTGCTTAACTTAAGATTAAAAAAAATTGTAAAATGTGTTCCGGTTAACTGAATGCCTGATAATCAGGAGTATACTGTACAAACATGGTAATCTTTCACATAAAGGCATAAAAAGAACACAAATTCATTGTTTAAAAATCAGCCTAAATAAAATTTTATATTTTGATTTGAACATTTTATGCATCAACTTTTTATTCTCACTAGTACAATGTTATGAAAAGCTAATGTTACCTGTACTGTTACTAGTGACTCCAAGCTCGCAACTTCTTCGGCATCCAAACCATTAGGAAGATTATCTGCAGCTTCTTTATTTACAGTCTTTCCAGGTAGCTTTTTCGGTGAACTTGAATCCTGAAATAAGAAGTGTTTACTTAATTCCCCTGCTGGCATGACTATTTTTACCTGGTCATGAGATATTTTGTCACTTCATAAATATTAGCTTACAATTTAAAGTATTTTTATTTCTTACTTCTTTCATTCTGCAACTATCATCTTAATAAATGAAATTCTGATAAAATAGAGACTAAACTAAGTAATTATACAAAACTTAGCTAATAAATGCTGTTTAAATACAGGTATTTATAAGCAGATCCAAAACGCCATGCCGCTCTCAGGGTTAATAATTATATATATAATTAATGACATTTTAGTATTACAAAGTGATTTGGGAAATTAACATTCAAAGAACAATTTGCTGATTCAGAAAGCAGATGCTGTGGATAGAATGGCACATTTGAATGATACACAGACTATGTAACTTTCAGTCATGCTGATTGTTTGTTACTCAGTAACATGGTTAAATATACCGAAGCTGTCTGATAGTCTGAGCTCCAGGATATGGAATAGATGCTGTAAAGCTTAGTTATATAAGTATATCCTTTCCTTCTTCTAACATATGGAATATCAATCTACTCTCTGTGATACACCTTAAGCCAGCGTTTTGCAAACTGGGAGGCGTGGACTAGTCTAAGGGGAGGCACAAATATTAGCCAGGATTGGTGCACGTGCAGCTAATACAATACGTAACATATAGATACATATTAACTACTATGCTGCTTGACCGACCAGTAACTCTCTAAAAATTGAGACAGTAACACTGCTGAGCAGTTTAGCTCAGCAGTGTTAGATTGTGTTTCTTATTTTATTTTCACATACCTAATTACTCACCAATCACAATAGTAAGTAATTTAATTAAGTTTAATTTTTTTAAGAACAATAAATTAATTATCCTAATATTTTTTGAGAAATGGATGAGTTCTTGACTGGTTAGAAGAGAAAATTCTCTAATAATGAAGAATCTGATGCTGTCACAAGTAGTAGGATCTGATGCTGTCACAACTCCCAAGACAAGAAAATACGATTCATCTTATTTATCATTCAGATTTACAAGTTTTATTACTAATAATGTGGAAAAACCAATGTGTTTGTTTTGTTCGAAAGTTTTGGCTGCTAATAGTATGAGACCCAGAAAATTAAAACGCCACATTGAAACTATGCATTCTCAATACGTTGGCAAGTCCCAAGAATTTTTTCAAAGAAAATTGGATGCGTTCACTAAACAAAAGCAAACGTTAAAAAAAAAAAAAACAGTTCATATTCTATCAAATATGTTACTAGCATCGTACTTAGTATCTTACAGAATCGCAAAGTGTAAAAAACCAACACACAATAGGAGAAACATTAGTTTTGCCAGCAGCTATTGATATGGTCAAAACAATGTTTGGTGATTCATATGCAAACAGTTGCGACAAATACCGCTTGCTGATAACACTCTTGGCAGAAGAATCAATGATATATCTGACGATCTTTGTGATCAATTAGTTTCTCAGATGCGCACTTCAAAATTCGCCTTACAAGTAGATGAAGCAACCAACCAATGTAGCTAAAGACGCACATTTAATTGCATATGTTTGATATGTTGAAGATATATTATTTTGCAAACCTATTCCTGGCAAAGCCCCATCCGGTGAAATTTTTAATATAATCAACAATTTTTTTATGAGAATGGCATATTGTGAAATAATTGCATTGGGCTTTGTACAGATGGAACACAGTCAATATCAGGACACAAAACTGGCCTTCAAGCACTAATTAAAAGGAAAACACCAATGGAAGCACTGCATGCTCTCGTATCAAAAAATAAGTGAGAACCTTAACTACGTTTTTACAAAAGTAACGAAAGTTGTAAACTACATAAAAAAAAACAGTCCATTAAAAGTTAGGTTACTTGCAAAGCTGCTTACAACTCACTTTTGTATTACTGTGAAGTGCACTGGCTATCTCGTGCAAAGTGATTCAGAGGATACTTGAACTCAAAGAAGAAATTGCAATTTTTCTCGAAGAAAATCATAATGAGGATGCAAATATGTTTAGAGATGATAATTTTATTATTAAACTTACCTATTTGGTGGACATTTTTGGAAAATTGAGTGTTTTGAATAAATCGATGCAAGGGCCAAAAATGCATTTATTGATTCAAAAAGATTAAGTGAAAGCATTCGTTAAAAAAATGGAGATATGGAAGACAAATTTGGAAAAAAATAGGTTCCACATGTTTCCACATTTAAATTTATGCGCCCAAGTTAATACAGAAGCAAACAAAAATCTATTTGTTGAACACTTGGATGGTTTGTTAATTCATTTTTCAAATTATTTTGATGATCTTGATTTTAAAAAATATGCGTGGATACAGAATCCAGTTATCAACGAAGAAGATGACAAATTTGAAGTAACAAGTATTGAGAAAGAATACTTGATTGTGATACTTCTTTAAAACAAAAATTTCAGAATGTATCTCTGATTCAATTTTAGCTAGATATTAAGAGTGAATATAATATTTTGTCAATTAAAGCTTAAAAAGTATTGCTGCCATTTGCAACACCTTTTTTATGCGAAACAGGATTTTCTGCATTAGCTACAATAAAATCGAAATATTGTGCTCGTTTGGTTGTAGAAAAGGAGCTTCATGTAGCTATCTCATCAATGACACCGAGATTTGATAAACTTTGCGCTAATAGGCAAGCACATCCATCTCATTAAGTGACAATAATAAAATATTGTTATTCGTTTTTTCTTGTGTATAAGAGTGTTTTTTAATAATTTTTTTAGTACTAAAAATTTTTGTGTTTGTAGTATTTTATAAAATGGAAGGGAGGCGCCATATGATCAAATATTTTTAAGGGAGCCGTGATAAAATAAAGTTTGGAAACCACTGCATTAAGCAATGTTCTCACTGATGAGATGGCTAAATTAGCAATGGATTCGACCATTTCTGACAAATGCTTTCAAGTGTCCAGCTATAGGAAAAGCCTCTTTCAAATGCTACTTGTTTCAAGAAATACATAAGATGAACTGAATTTTTTTTATATACATATATGACTGGTTGAACTTCCTGTACCACCATTAGAGGCTTAACAGGGCTTAGTCGAGCTATTTAATTAAAGAAACACTGAGATCTAAAACAAGGCCTAAATCAGGCCCATTAAGCAATAGAACTACCACCTTACTACCTGAAATAACTTAAAATATAATAAACAACTAAAATATGAACTTAAAGTCTAGGAGCTGGTGAGATTTACCAGCTACACCAACAAAAGCACATTATTACATTCTTTGTAAAATATAACACATGTTACTTGCATGCATAAAAATATGATACTTACATATACAAAGAAATAAAATAACAGAATATCATAAACATTCTAGTTTTCCTTTAAACAGACAGGGAAATTTTAAAAACAATCAATATATAAATTCATTTCATTTACAGATACATATTTTTTGAAATTTGACAATTTCAATTTAGTCTATTTTTACATAGATCCTTTAGAGTATTAAATTTAGCAATATCTGGAATAAATCTTAGAACAATATTTTTCATAGAACAGCATCTAAACAACAGGTGCTCAATATCGACATTAATCATGCCACATGGACAGGCATAATTTTTAATCGAAAACCTATTATAATAAAAAGGAAAGTGTCCGTGATTAGTTAAAGCTTGGTTTAGATACTTGTCACTTAGGCATCTTTTCTCACTTACAATTGAGATTAAATTATAAGTGAATCTTCCTTTAGAATCTAAGTCATTCCACTTTGCTTGCCATACAGTCAAACTTTTTCTTTTCAACAAGGATTTCAAACTGTCAAAGGAAGTCTTTATTTCAAAATCAATAATTTGATTTTCAGTAGCAGCTTTTGCCAATCTATCTGCTAACTTGTTATCAATGGTACCAATATGACTCTTCGTCCAAAAGAGTTTAATATCTCTGAAAGCACCAAGAAAAAAGAGCATGTCTTTTATCTGTTTAATTAGATCGTTACTTGGACAAATACCCGTAATTGAAACGATTGCACTTTCGCAGTCACTATAGATTTATACAGGATCTATTGCAGAATTAGAAATAAGCCAATACAAGGCCTCTCGCAGGGCCACTAACTCTGCCTGATAGACAGAGGCATTGTCAGAAAGTCTGTATTTCCTTTGTAAGCTTAGTTTCTCATCTGAAAACACACAAAAGGCTGCCCCCACATGACCATTTAATTTAGATCCATCTGTAAAACTTGTGTAGCCTCTCATATTGGGGAGGCCTTTATGGCAATTCAACTGTTTCAACAAAGCTGGATGAATGTCTAAACCTTTTTCAAAGTCAAAATCTTTAGCTGAGAAGATCTCGCTGAAACAATCGACAGTTTTATTACCACATTTTAATTTAAAGATACGCTAAAATATCGATCGGAGGACATCCAGCCAAAATCTAAAGAGCTACTGTGGAAACAGTTCTAAACACTTAGTAATCCTCAATAAAGCAATTCTTTGAATTTGCAAAATTTTGTTACGCATTCGGTCCCTTCCAGTCCACCATGTACCACATGCATACAAGATCTTTCTCTCAATAGCTTCTTTTATAAAAACTCTTAAGAGCTTTACCTTGGAGATTCATTTTACTAAGTCTATTAAGAGTATGGGTGCATTCGATCTTTATCTGATCTAGGTGAGGTATAAAAGTGAGCTTTTCATCGATCGTAATGCCCAAATATTTGATATTCTTTGAAACTCTAATTGGTTGTCCATACGGTCTGCACCTAGGATGTATTCATCTAGTATTAGTTTTGGCAATATCCAAAAGAAAGCTCTTCTTTGGATCAAATTTGAGTTTAACATGGAAAGACCACTTCTCCAATTCTTGAGTGGCGAAACTTAAAAGCTTTATCAATAGTATGGCGACCACTTCCCGTGGCCAATAAAACAAAATCGTCAGCATAAGCTTGTATACTAACATTTTGTGGCAAGGTTATGTTTAAAGCTATATTAGCAATAATGTTCCACAAAAGTGGACCAGATATTGAGC